TATATAAGTTAAGGTAGTAGTGCAGAACTTCTATAAGCTATCAGGGTCTAAAATATTAAGGATGAAAGCGAGAACGGTTTTCATGTAAGAGAAAGTAATTTCTAATTATGTGTTAGTAAGGTAATGCTTAGGCAAAGACCTTAGGAAGTAACGACGAGACTGACCCCTTCTCACTCACCAGGTTGAGGATGGGTTAGCGGTGGTGGATCCCGAGAAGGAGCAAGTCTAGGCGAGCAGCCGTACCAACACTGATGAGAAGTCAAGGAGCTCGTGAGGAGTCAAGTTAGATGAGTTAATTATTTTGTTTCATGGTTATTAGTGTAAATTGGAGATTCTGTGTTAAGTTGTTTTAAGTGTTCGAGATTAAGATTTTGCCCAGGTGTTGAGGCTTTTTTGTTTAAAATTCTTCAATAATGTCAGTTTTTTTTATTTTTAAATGTGGCTTGGGTTGCTCCGGAGTAACCTGTTTTTGGTTTGAGCTATGTTTTGGTTTTCGAAAAAGGTCGGGTCGTTTCATCTTTTTTTATGTTGATTTCGTGATCTTGTTTGTTGCTTGTGTTGCAAGAATTAGTATATGTGAAAAATTTTCACAACAAGTTTAAGAAATCTTATTTTATTTTGTTAATTGTTCACACATACTGGTTTCCGAACGGAAAACAAATTTCGCATTATGAGTCTGATTGTTAATCAGTTTGTTGTATAATAATTTTTCTGGATATATTGTGTTCGACTGTTAACAGAGAAGGATTCATGTTCCCTATCTTTCATTGGAAATTGTAAACTTTCTCGTCTCTGGATAAACTGTTTTAACAAATTGATTAGTGTTCAATTTGTCAATTGGTTAACTGTCATTCCAACGTGTGTTCCTTTTGAATGGATGGTTATGTGATATGGTTACATAACATGTGTATATATATATATGTATATATATATATATATACGTGTATATATAGTTCAGACTAGCATATGTCTGACGCACGCTATATGCATGTGTTCACATTTATTAATTTATATGAATTAAAATTAAATTAATTATTACTAACTATTATAATAACAATAAGATCCACTGTTTTTATTTTTTTTATGAGTCGCGCAGACCTTCCTTCTTTTAATTCCTACTTTCTTAATTCAACATCGGCAGATTGGATCCTCTCACTCTTCCCTATCGACAACGCAGTGGACGAAAAACTTGAAAAAGAAAGACCCGAAGATGGATGTTATAGTCTTGCAATAAACGGATTAGTGTTCTCAGTCTTGTCTAATTATTCAACCTTCTAGTATCCTTTCCACGATCCCTCGTTGTTTTTTCGAGAGGACGTCACTTCCCAATTCGAAGAGTAGCTCTCCAATCCCCATCCACTAAGAAATACCCAATAAAATTGTTTTGAAACTGAACTCCTTATATCCACATTCGACATTAGTTTGGAGTTTCCCATGTTTTTCGTCTAGTTTGGCCTTTTCCAAATCGGAAGGCAGGATATACTCGCCTATCTCTTTCTAACACCCTGCAAACAAAATTTGCTAACCCTAGGGGTCATGTTGCTAGTGCTTTCAGCCTATTGTTCATAAGTAGTTTTCTCCATATAAGAAAATAACATGGTATAAATTGATGTATTACGCTTTTAGCCTATCAGATTCCGACACACTACATGCAAAGTTCATATTATTATAATGTTATGTTTCTAACCATTAAGATAAACCAGTATTGTTAAAACCGAACTGGACATCAATCTGGATTTATGAGAGGCTCAAAGTTTATTGGATAACCGTTGATTAACCGGTATTAGAAACTGTTAATAAATAATGCTTGGCTCCAAAAAAGAATAGAAGAGTATAAAGTACGAATAAGAAAAGAAGTTAAAAGCCCAATAGTAGTGGGCTGTAGGGAGTATGAGTAGGGTCACTTTTATTTTGCCCCGTTACCCTGATTCCTTTTCATTAATAATTAATTAAAGATAGCAAAACGATAGGAGCTAGTTAATTAATCGATAAAACCAGTATATAATTACAAATCAATTATGATTTCAAATAATTAATAATAGTAAAATATGTCGGCCAATGACAAACCTACTTTAGATATTAATCTAGATAACTAATTTTGTTGGATCGATCGAATGTCGTAGGAATATTTAGATAGGTTTTGTCTATATAGATATACCCGTAAATCGTAATTGTAAAGTGTACACAAAGCAAAAACAAATTCCAATCTTGCCTGGGAGCGGTTAGCTTGCTTTTTTTTATAATCACACATGTATTTTATTTAGTGGGCTGCAATGTATTTGGCCAAAGTGTCAAGCAAAAATATAGTTGGTCTAAGAATCCAATACTCTTGGGTTTCCCAGTGACATGCCTTATGAGCCATTGTGTGTGCAACCCAATTACATGTCCGCTTGGCAAAATGCCAACGTATTCCCCCAATCCGAACAACATCTTCCTGCAGCTCAGCAACGGTCTGGCCAGCTTCCAATTGCGAGAAATCTGCCCACTGGTGTTTGAGGACTGCGTGCTGGCAATCCGTCTCGATGATAGCTGGGAAGAGTCCATGCAATGTTTCCATCTCCATGACAAAGCTCAACGCCCGTAGCTCCGCTAGCTCCGGCGACCACTGAATGCACCCCTTCTTCACCACTGCTAGAAGAATTTCCCCATTTTATACCAAACCTTCACACCCAGAACCGTGCCTTTCCCTCTGATCACAACAACGTCCACATTGATCTTCACCCATCCCACGTTTGGCTTCTCCCAGGTAACTCACAACTCATCTTGTAATTCCTATTTTCTTTGATGTGGTGGGAATTGAATTCCTCCAAGTATTCTAGGGATTTACCCACAATCTCCCATTCTTCTGATTTCTTGTTGCTAAACATGTGGTTGTTTCTCTCATTCCATAAAGAGCATAGAATCATTGCAAGTTTCCCCAGCACTTTGTCTTCCACTTTCTCCATCACCTCACACAACTAGCTTCCTACCGATAGATTATGTTCCATTTTAAATAATGATATGAAAGCTGAGGGCCACCACACCCTAATACTCCATTGGCATTCACAAAAAATGTGGTTATGGGTCTCGTCGAGGTTGAAAAATGGGCACTCTGTGGCAGCATCTTTTTTTCGTCCCTCAATGTTCTTCCCAGTTGGAAGAATATTATGAGCCAATTTCCATAGGAAAATCTTCACTTTAGGGGAATAACTAGCTATCATAGCCTCTTCCAATTCAGAGGGTCATAGACCTCCACCTCTTCTACCAATCCTCCATCTACTTGCTCAATATCCGCTCCCACATCTCCCACCCAGTTTCTGGTTTTGTGATTCTGTAAGCCAGATGATAGGCTGACTTGACTGAGTAAATACCTATACTTTCATAGCCCCATAATAGGTCATCCTCTGCCGGTTGTTTGGCAAGTGGTATGCCCTCTATGCGAAATCGATCCATAGGATTGAAGTTTTGTTGCAAGACATTATGGCGCCCACTTCTATTTTCATGATCAGTGAGATCCATCACAACGTCCATAGTTTCCATCTCAGTCCTTGGTATGGTGATTTTAAAGTCATGTTCATCTGCCCTAGCCACCCATTGATCCTCCCAAATATTGACCTGTGAGACATTTTCAATTTGCCAACGGATTCCTGTCTTTAATAGATCTTGGGCTGTTAGTTACTTATCTATGTATAGCTAGGATTACCTCCTATCTTGGCATGTAGGATGTATGTGTTTGGGAAATACTTTGCCTTCAACATCTTTGCTACTAAGGATACTGGAGTGTTTAGAATGTTCCAGATTTGTTTTCCTAGTAATGCTAAGTTGAAAGTTTTGAGATCCTAAAATCCCATATCTCCTTTCTCTTTAGATTTTCACATATACCTAGAAATTGTTTGCCTTATCTCTGACAAAACTCCATCTGGGATTGAGCTACTTCCCTAATCAAGACTTCTTTTGCTGCCGCTGAGAGAGTTTGAATCTTCCTGTTCATAATTTTCTTTCGAACTCTGTCCCCAAGAACACTAAACACGACCTTCTTCTCTCGCTCAATGAGCGTAGGCAAACCTAAGTATTTAGCATGTCCTTCCACCACTCTCATACCCACCAGATTCGCTAGTTCCTTCTATTTACTTTGTTCCACATTGGGAGTAAAGCTCAATTCAGATTTCTACAGATTAACCACTTGCCCCGATTCTCACTCGTAGGTTTCTAATATTTCCTTTAACTGCTTGCACTTCTGGGGTGTTCATCTTAGAAACAGTTACTATCATCTGCAAATAAGAGATGTAACACTTTAGGTCCTCAAAAATTTAGTTTAAGTTCACGTAGCATCCCCTAGTTCATAGCAGGAGTGGTTAGAACCGGGAGACCTTCCACATAAAATAGAAAGATATAGGAGAGATAGGGCCCCCTGCCTTAGCCCCTCTTTGGTTAAAACTCTTTTGATCTATTTCTATTTACTAGAATAGAATAGGACACTGTGGTAATGCATTTCATGATCAGTTTAATCCATCTGTCAGCAAAGCGTAATTTTAACATCATAGCCTCAAGAAAGGCCACTCCACACGATCGTAGGCTTTAGAGATGCCAATTTTAGCAACCGTAAAGCCCTTTTAGCTTCTTTTTTTTTTGTTTCATAGTGTGAAAACACTCAGATGCCACTAGCACATTATCAGTAATGTACCTCCCTGGAACAATCACACTCTGGGGTTTCCCTATTACTGCATTTAATACTTTTTTAAGTAGACTTTGACAAAATCTTGTAGAGCACCTTACATAAGCTGATTGGTATGAACTCAAGAGGTGTAGTTGGCTTCAGTTATTGGGGGAAGTCACCTGTCTCTAGCTGATTTTACTCGCACCATACATGGGTTATACAACCAAAAAAATTTTACTCGCACCATACATGGGTTATACAACCAAAATTTTTTTACTCGCACCATACATAATGGTACTCAAATAATATAACTCAACAGGAGATGGTTTCTACAACTTCATCAAAATCTTTACTCGCACCATACATGGGTTATACAACCAGTTCTATCGTAAAGACACGTCCATCACCACCGTTTTCCCAGTCGCTACCGGCGGTGGAAACTCAATCCTCTACAACCCTTCCTCCACCGCTCTCCTACGACGAGAAGAAATACACCGAGCTATTCCTCAAGGACCAAATTCAAATCTGGATCTTCGTCGGCGGTTACATCTCCATCGCAATAGTCTCCGCCATCATCCTACCTCGCATTTTCCACCAGCTCAGCTGGTACCACATCGTCGTCATCTACACCATCGCACCAGTCCTCGCATTCTGCAATGCATACGGCCAGACTGGCCGAGTGATTCTCCATGGCAAGCAAGCTACTGAATATGGTGCCTCAAGCCATTGATTCCCAAGTTGCAGACTCTTATTCGACAACCACCACCAGCTCCATTCCATCACAGCCACGAAACTCATAGCTATGTTGGAAATCCAAGTAAACCAACTCGCCAACCACGGCTACCCAAGCTTCCTTGTATGTCTCTTTGAAATCAGGACAACTACCCCTACCACAAGAAATAACACAAACGCCATAGTAAGTTTGATAAATCTAATACCCAACGTCACCGCTGCCACACCACAGTTCCTTGTTGCGATGACCAATATGCTCCAATTGCTCAACAACTATTATAAACGCCAACTTGTACCCTATAGCTTCTCTTTTAGAATCATCTACCCTTGCTTGGAACATTTGCGCTTCTGCTTGTTGGATGCTTATTATGCCTTCCAGCTTATCAAAAGCTGGCTCCTTCAACCCACTTCGTAGCTGTAACTCAGAAGTCTTTATTAGGAGCCTCTTGCACGATGCATCTACAGTCCAATCTTGGGCAAGGTTCTGATCCAAAGCAAACATGTCTGTGGACTGAGCAAAAACAACATAGTGGAACTGAATCTTGGTAGTTTCCCCTAAAGCTTTCCCAATTGTTTGGCTCCAACTCACTTCAAAATTTGGACCCTGAGTCTCTGCAGCTGAGCTGATAGCCACAACCCCTTGAGTCAGTTGTGAATGATCCATTTCCATAGCCTGTGCAGCCCACAAAACCCCTTCATCATTGAGTTCATTCTCATCCGAGTTTGGTTTCTTCAAGGTCGATACTGATTCGAAGCAAACCTCGTTACTAAAAAGCGCTACAATTTTCCATTCTCCATTGGATCCAAAAATCCAAGGTACGGAGTTGTGTTCTTGTGCTCATCATACTCATCATCTCTCCCCATTTCTGTTACAGCTATACAACCACCCAAAACATCGTCATTGCTATCTCTAGCTAACGAATCTTCTGAATCTAATCCCTGAAATTTAAGATCTGACCCATTGCTTATGCCCTCAAGCCTACCAGACCCAAATTTCATTAAAGAAATAGGAGAAGATATCGAAAATAGGGAACAAGACAAAACAGGAAGCAAAGAGTTAAAACACCTGTCGCAAGTATCAGCGGGTTTTCTAGTTGCTGCAATAGAAGTAGAATGATCAAAACGTCAACCGAAGGCTAACATGAATTCTTCCATAGTCCCCGAGGTAATATCAAGCCGACCCTGTAGTCTTGTATACCCAGGCTCCGCGTTCTCCATTTTGGTGCTGTCACCTAAATCAGTCCCTTCATTATTTGATACTTCACAAGAACACTCCATATCACTATCTGCAAGATAAAACTCTGCAGAATACAAATCGACTGGTTCTGCCTTCACCAAACCCTCGAGTGGTGCAGCAAAATCCACTCATATGTCCTTAGACAGTAATTGTTGCTTCCTGTTGCTAGCCTTAATAACATCTTTTTTCAATAGAGCTAGATGGTATGCTTGAGTTAATGTTTGGGGCTGCAACTCTATAACAGCCTGCCCTAGTTCCTCTTCCATCCCATTAATAAAACTCGAAATGAAATACGCTTCATCTAGAATACAAGTATATCTAACCAGTCGAGATCGTAGTTCTTCAAACTTTGCCTGGTATTCAAATAATGAGCCTCTTTGCCGCAACTTGTTGAATTCACCCATTGTTCCACTAAATGATCCATCTGCAAAACGTCTACAGGCAGCTACAAACTCACCACAAACCAACTCCTTACGGCCATATCTCCAACCACCAACCAGGTTTCTAGCTCGTGTTCAAAGTACCTTGCCGTCAGCAAAACTCGATGTTCATTCAGAGGGCTCCAGAATAGGGGTAAAAACATGTGCAATTAACGGTTTATCACCTGCTCCACGCACAGATGATTCCCGGCCATCGTGTCGATTCCATAACTGACCTTCTAAGCCCTCAACAAACCTAGAGAACCATGGCCACCTCAATCCAGCCAATGTTGACTGGGCAAGATTTCCCGTCACCATGCTCGTTGGTGAGGTGACAGAAACGCAGCAGAGTCCAACCAAATTTCCACTTCGTGTAGCATCACCATGATTTCCAAGCGCGAGCTGGGCATCTTTCGAAATTGGCTAGCATTGGCGCGATGGAAAAAGAGAGCGTCATCGCCGATGGTGTCGGAGAATGGCTCTGATACCCCCGTGTGACAATTGAGGTCGAGAAAGGACCGATTCCGGCAAGAAGGTAGTGTATTGAGTTGATAAGAAGGACAAGAGGGATAGAGAGTACAGAAGAGAGGAAGAAGAGATCAGAGGAGTTGCAGAGGAAGGAAGAAGGAAGGGAAAGATCAGAGGGTAGAGGAATTGGGAATTCTGTATTCTGTTATTCGTTAAATTTCTCGGTACAACACCACTCTATTTATATGACATACTAATTACACATAGATCCCCAAACTATATCGTATTACAAGTAACCCCCTACCATTCATTGGTTTGTTACACACAATCGGAGCGTGGGTCGCGGCGTCCTGACGTAGAGTCGTCTCTGGGCTGGCAGCCTGCGGCATCATCATGAACATCGTCTCCACAACTTTTAACTTGATGCAGGATATCAAGAAAAGCTTGCATCTGAATTCTTGTAAAAGAATTTTTTATTTTTATTTTTTAATGATGAGGTGGAAATTTTGCAATATTTAATTTTATTATTTTTTAACTTTTTAATTGCCACATCATATATTTAACGTTCAACTTAAAGAGTTGACTGCCACATAAGCAAAAGTTAACGGAGTTGGACAGAGAGTGACCAAACTTGACATTTTTTAGTATTGTTAGTGACCAATCATGGCATTTAACCCCTTAAAATTGTGAATTTAAAAAAAATCCAGACGTTCGGATTGCGGGACACAAAATTATAGCCGTCCAAAGTTTGGCGAAATAAAAAAATTTCTTGTTCGGGGTACGATCGCTACGATCAGATAACAAATTCCCCCACACTTAACCGTTCGCTTGTCCCCAAGCAAACCTGAATCAAACCAATGAAACTCTCCAGACCTCTATTGCAACAAACAACCCCGATCGTTGGTAGAGGATTTTCTAGATCATATAGCAGCTTACGAGGTCAACTGGTCTTCTAAGACGTTCCCTATCTCTCTCAATGCGAGTACTAGACTCAAGTCAGGATCATGAGAAGAAGTAGAAGTAAGACAGTCAGTTCATGGATAAAGGGACTCATGTCATTCTCAACCAAGGCCTCATTGTACCGGGGTGCTCTTTTCACTTTATTTCACTGTTGGAACCCCTTTTTCACTTTCATTTTACTTTTTTTTTCTTTTTCATTCACTTGGCGGGGGTTCCAACTGCAGTCTCTTACAAGGTCGACCCTTATTAGTCGAGCAAGAGCAATTTCTGTACATCTGGCGCTCGCCAGAGTACTTCTTTTAACTCCTTTTCCTCAACTCGTGTGGAGGGTCAATGAAATTAAGGGGGGTCGGAAGCTCTATCCGTGCTTTTAAAAACACATCCTCAAGTAGGCAAACCGTTCAATGGGTGGAAGTTTTACTCGTACTAGAGACAGCTTAGCTTCACCTTGTAGGAGTACCCCACTAAGGATCACTAAAATCTCTTCCAAAATCCGATTTGGTGCAATGAACGGTGCCGCACATGTTGGGCTCACCCCATGTTTAAGATTTTGATGATTTTGACATGGAGGACCAACTGCATTTTTCATTTTCCACATGAGCACCTTGTTCGATACACGAGTCCATAACACATTCCACATAGAGTCACCGTTATCACATGAATTCAACGGTCCTAGCTCTACTAATTCACAAAATCAACTGCACAGCAGATAGCTAGATAGGAAAAATCTTATACTTCAACATCCTCCATAGTGCTACACTACCTCCCTAGGTTGCACATTGCTATAGAGACTGTCAATTCAAAGCATACTGAGCAGGCAATTTGCAAGGAAACACGTACTTGGAGCCCTCAAATTTAAAAATTTGGACGGTGGACTAGGCTCCAAGCACACAAAAGATCTAATGCAGTCAAAAGAGAAACATCCCCCCCCCACACTTAAGATCGACATTTCCCTCAATGGAGAAGAGGGAAAGATAAGGGGAACGATGTTACCGGTGTGCACGAACTACATGAGACTGGAAGTGGACCAGTCTGAGCGAAGAGGACTGGAGAGGGGACTAGTCAGGGACAAAGCACAGCTAAAGGGAACAGAAGAACTCAAACACAATATGTTAGGTCCAATGGTTAGCCCAATAATACATCATCCAAAACAAAAGAAAACAAACCAAAACCAAACCAGTTTACAATCCGACTCAAAACAAAAGAAATAAATGAAAACTGCGGTGGGGTTGCCTCCCCACAAGCGCTTCTTTACCGTCATTTAGCTGGACGCCGATGGTGGATACTCAGCGGGGTGCAGGAATAGGTGCCCCCAAGAGCGGATCCACATCGCTCTTGAGGTACAGCTTCAGATTGCGGCCATGCACCAGACGGGTGCGACCACCAGCATTGGTCAGCTCGACTTGGCCATCCGACAAGATGCAGGCGAGTGAGTACTCGGATGGCCAGGGTGGTCATGGTGCAGGAGGTGGAACCAGCTCATAGTGGTCTCCACCTTTCTTCCATGCAGGCTTAGCCACCTGCGGCTTCGGCCTCCACTCCTCTTTGAGCTTTTTATTTGCAGGTGAGGTTGAATGGGGTGGCGGCGAAGGCATGAGAGGGGAATCCTGCAACACGAGATGCATAGAGGGGTACACGACAGGCTCGTGTACCTGGTGAGAAATGGCATGCATAGGTGTGACAACAGGTATATCACAATGATCAAGGTCAGCCACAGAAAAAGTAGCTTGTTCATTCCCAGCACGCAAGATCAGTTTACCACTATGCACATCAATTATTGCCTTGGAGGTGGCAAGAAATGGTCTACCCAAAATCAAAGGCACATCCACATCTTCATTTATATCTAGAACAACAAAATCAACAGGATATGTGAATGCGCCTACTTTAACAAGCAGATCCTCTATGATACCCCTA